AGGCAAGAACTGAACCACTGCTCACTCATATGTCAGGAGAATGCCTCTTGGTTCTCCCAGACTATGAGGCCACAGTGCTGGTCTGTGCAGCTGTTATCAGACCACGCTCCCTTCCTGCTCATAAGAGTCTGTCGCTGCTTCCTGGGTCCTGTTGACTTTGTGCTTTTGCTTCACTCCTTTGGGGCACAGCTTTGGGGTAGAAAAGTGCTTTGTTGCACGACAGCCTTGACCTATGATGCATAAATTGACCTCTTGTTTTTCCAAAGTAGAAGAGCAAAGGGAACTCATGCATTTTGCCTATTTACCCCTTTACTGCCTTTGTAAGTCTTAAAATGTCAGGCTGTGAAAAACTCTCTGCTTCTTTCTTGACATAATCTACCTCCCCACCTGTCTTAGTCAGGGTTTCTATTGCTGTGATGAAACACCATGACCAAAAATGTTGGGGAGATAAGGATTTATGTGGCTTACACTTCCACACTGCTGTTCATTATTGAAGGAAATCAGGACAGGAATTCACACATGGCAGGAACATGGAGGCAGGAGCTGATTGATGCAGAGGCCATGAAGGATGCTGCTTACTGGCTTGTTCTCATGGCTTGCTTAGCCTGCTTTCTCATACCAACCAGGACCACCAGCTCAGGGAAGGCACCACAGACAATGGGCTGGATCCTCCCCTATCAACTACTAATTAAGAAAATGCCTTACAGGTCTGACAGATCTTATGGAGAAATTTTCTCAATTGCGGTTCCTTCCTCTCAGATGTTTTTATCTTGTGTAAAGTTGACATAAAACTAACCAACACACCACCTTTGTGCTGATGTCATTTACACAGGGCTCTCAGGCTTTCTTCCTTGGAGATATACATCAGCAAAGTGTGAGAGTAAAGCAAGAATTGCTTGTAGGAAAGAGGGGTTTAAAATGGCTGTGTGGTGGTGGCACACGCCTTTGATCCCAGCATGCAGAGGTAGGTGGATCTCTGTGAGCTCCAGGTCAGCCTGGTCTACAGAGCGAGTTCTAGGACAGCCAGGGTAGTTACACAGAGAAACTCTGTCTCAAAAAAACATGGCTGTGGTTAATTTAACAATAGTAATTTTCTAAAGCAAAATTAGAGACAGCTGTAATCAAAATAGTGCAGCTGACGAGATTTGCTTGTTATTACGGCAACAAGTGTAACAAAGCTGGTCCCTAAAACTATAGAATAAACATGGATATTGCTAATTTTATGCCTTCATTTATAACAGTGAATGTTACACCTGATTCACAAAAACTGATGGATCTAATATTTGTAAAGAAAACATTTTTGTGATAAAACATGTAATTATCCCCTGGGACATAATGTATCACCAGTACATAAAGCAGCAATCATATATACTAAAAGAACATCAAATTAAGAGATTCACTATGTCTGAGGTAGGCTCCAAACACCTTAATTTTTTAGCTAAAAATGTAAGTTTTTATTTATTTTTTCCACTTGTTTATTTGAATTAGAAACAAGATTGTTTTTCATGTCAATCCCAGTTCCCTCTCCCTCCCCTCCTCCCCTGTCCCCCCCCTCCCCACTAAAACCCTACCTATCACATATCCTTTCTGATCCCCAGGGAGGGTGAGGCCTTCCATAGGAGGTCTTCAGTATCTGTCATACCCTTTGGGATAGGGTCTAGGCCCGCCCCCGTGTGTCTGGGCTCAGGGAGTAACCCTCTATGTAGGATGGGCTCCTAAAGTCCATTCCTTATCTAGGTCCCATAGATTTCTGAGGTCTCCTCACTGACACTCAAGTTCCTGGGGTCTGGATCAGTACCATGTTGGTTTCCCAGCTATCAGTCTGGGGACCAAGAGCTCCCCCTTGTTCAGGTCAGCTGTTTCTGTGGGTTTCACCAGCCTGGTCTGGACCCCTTTGCTCATCATTCCTCCTTCTCTGCAAGTGGTTTCCAGTTAAGTTCAGGGTTTAGCTATGGGTGTCTGCTTCTATTTCCACCAACTGCTTATATGCTATAGGATGACATATAAGTTAGTCATCAATCTCATTATCAGGGGAGG